GCAACCCTTTCGCGCCTCCGTCGATGCTTGCTTTCCCCTCCGAATATCACAGAGCGCGGGAATGGATCATATAGCGCGGGAAAGGAAGAAGGTGGCGATTGGGGAAGGATTGTCACCGCGCAAATATCCACGGCAAGGAGCTCTCGATTGGGGAGGGCAAAAAAATGGGGAAGGTTTAGGGGATGTGTTGGAGGGCAATTTTTTTTTGTGTTTTAACCCTAATAGCAGATTAGGGGTATTTTACACAGCCTTTTGGAGTTGCTCTTAAAACTCCAAATTAACGGTGTGTTGATGGAGGTTAAGTTGCTGTCAATTTTAAGAGTTATGTTGATAGTTATATAATTTTTAGGTCCTTGAGAAAATAAATTTTTTAAGCCCCCGATTGATAATTAACATATCTTTCGAGTCTTGGATTGAGAAAACTCCAAAAAAAAAATTACCCATTTTCACAAGTTTTATAATTTTATTTCCATAATATAAAGTCGAACTATTTAATTTAAAAGTGAAAGTTAATGTATTTTTTGAATAACCTTTAACTGGGAAAGTGAATGAAGATACACTCGGACTCTACGTGAAAATTTGACCCTTAGAACTCTTGTTTTCACTATGCATCTTATTTTTTTGATTATAAGAATTTCCATTTTCAGACAAAAACATCCTCATTTCCGATAATTCTTCAACAATGGAGTTCGGGTCTTCGGCCGCTTGGCTCAATTATGTAATCTCGAGAATTTTAACCCCACCAATTCTGGAGACTTGCTAGATGTGTTTCATCAGTTCCATATCCATTGCTCCCCATGCGCTCGCAGTTGGTCCAAATCACGTCTAAGATCACGGCCCTAGCAAAACTCGGAAGCATATCGCAGGCCCGAAACCTGTTCGACCAAATGGCTGAGAGAGACACGATCGCATGGAACGCGATCATAAGTGGATATTCCCACTCGGGACTCCACCATGAATCCCTTTCTTTATTCAACCACATGAGATTTAGCAACGTTAAGCCCGATCACTTCACGTACACTGCAGTACTAAGCGCCTGTGCGGGCCTAAGGGATTCGAAATCGGGGCAAAGGTTTCATGCTCTGGTTATCGTCTCAGGCTGGAAATCTTCCCTGCCAGTGAATAATTCTCTTATCGACATGTATGGGAAGTTTTTAAGGGCCTGGGACGCACAAAAAGTGTTTGAGAACATGGGTTTTCTCAGGAACGTGGTTTCGTGGTGCTCGTTGTTGTTTGCTTATGTGAATGCGGGTCTTCTCGATCTCTCGTGCCATGTGCTTTTTGATATGCCGGGTAGAGCGGTTGTGGCTTGGAATACCGTTATTGCAGGGTGTTCAAAGTGGGCTCGGCCTGAACTGTGTCTTGTTTTGTTCAGGAGGATGTTGGAGGAGGATTATTGTGGCTCGGATCAGTGGACTTTGAGTGCGGTTATGAATTCTTGTTCCGAAATGTGTGAGCCATGCTATGGTTATATGGTGCATGGTTTTATAATCCAAACCGGTTGGGAAAATGCGGTTGAGGTCAGTAACTCGGTACTCAGCTTCTACATAAAATTTGGTGAGGAAGATGAAATACTGAAAGCGGTCGAGGCTGTTAGAACATTCAGTGAGGTTTCTTTGAATGTGATCATTGATGCATATATGAAGATTGGTAATCTTGAAGAAGCTTGCCGCGTTTTTCAGTCTTTGCCCAATAAGAGAAATCTCATATCTTGGACTTCAATGATAGCTGGATGTGTGAGGAACGGGCACGAGGAACAGGCTTTGAATTTTTTTATTGACCTAACGAGAAGTTATATTCGGCCGGACGATGTCACGTTGGGAGCCGTCCTGCACGCGTGTTCTAATCTGGCGGCACTCAGCCGAGGTCGAGCGGTTCAAGGCCACGTGATTAAATCCGGTTTCCATGCCTATTGTTATGTCGGCAATAGCCTCGTGAACATGTATGCCAGATGTGGGGACATTCTCGATGCTCATCGAGCTTTCGAGGAAGTCCCATTCAAGGACCTGATTTCATGGAACACAATGTTGTTTGCATTCGGGTTGCATGGGCAGCCGGTGCGGGCCATGCGCGTTCTCGAGGAAATTTCAGCTTCTGGACTGAGGCCCGATAAAGTGACGTTTATCGGGCTTCTGATGACTTGTAGCCATTCGGGCCTAATTGATAAGGGCCTGCCCCTTTTCGAGTCAATGTCCTTGAAATACGGGCTCCGACCTGATACCGATCACATTGCGTGCGTGGTGGATATGCTCGTTCGTGGTGGGAAATTCGAAAAAGCCGAAGAATTTGTGAATAAGCACGTCTGTTTAGATCAGATTGCGAAAATGGGCTTATTGGAGGTGCTTGTCGGGTCGTATTTGGGTCAGGGGGATTTGAAGAGTGGGGCCAAGCTGGCAGAAAAACTGTGTGCCCTGAGGCCACGCGATGAGATGGGGTATGTTGTGCTGTCGAATATGTACTGCGCGAGCGGGGAGTGGGTGCGAGCCCAGGGTCTGAGGAAGGAGATGGCCGATCGAGGAGTGAGGAAAATGTACGGTTGCAGTTGGGTCGAGGTAAGGAATCGGGTTACAGCTTTTGTGGCGGGAAGTGATTCGTTTTCTTGTATGGAGGAGGTTTATGGGGTGCTGTCACTTATTCAGACGGAGACAAGGCAGCCCATGTCTGTTTTTGGTTGGGATGGGATTACGTAGGATTACATGTTCTCTCAGTTTGGTTTTTGTTCTTTTCCTTATTATTATTATTATTTTTTTCAAAGCAAATAATGGTGCAAGAGTTTTTGAAGAAGTGGTGAAATTTT